CCATCTGATTGAATAACCATCTGGCTCATTCAGTTATGCCACTGTTGATTCCATTCGTTGTTAAGAGAGTGGTGCCAAGCTACCATTATCAGTTCTATAATGTAATTCAGTAACACTTCCTATTACTCTCAAAACTAGCAGAACAGAGCACACCAGTGTTCTCCTAAATCCTTGAGAAAGTTACAAATATTGATTGGTCCCTACCCTACACCGGGACTATGAACTAGAATGGCAGCATTAAGTCAAAGCCAGGTTAAATCAGTACAACAGGACACACTAACAAGGCTTCTCTTTTCTGTAGAAGCATTTTAATCACATCTCTTAGATCTCACTAGGTCTTGTATTCATGACAATGAAAACCTGAATATTTATGAGATGGGAAAGAGCCTGCCTATTTCTGCATTGTCTGATAGAATTAATTTCTTCGTGTCAAAAGTGAGCAAATACAACTCTCTTGTAGTTCGCAGTACTTAAAGCCACATAGTGGGGTAGAAAAAATATCAACTTCCATAACTCCAACTGTGCAGGGTCAGAGTCGAGTGCCGTATTGCGCAAACAGATACATCCAGTCCTGAGATGCTGAAGCCATGGTACATTCAAGTCATTAAAGTTACTGCTTTGATCAGCTCTCTGTACATCAAGCCATCTTTTGATCACTCAACTTCTTTTTAGCCCTTTCCTTGCTAAATTTTCCTGCAGGCTCGTAATTTGTAAAAATTGCTATCTGTGGGTGTTAGATTTAGTTTGAGGGGTTTCTAGGGGAATATCTCCGCCCCATAATAGCCCTCCAGCCATGTGAAGCAGCATTGTGTCCTGTAAATTTTTTCTTCCCTGGGTAGACAGCCCTAGTCCCATCAGCCCATATCTAGAGACCCCTCTTCACCCTGTGGAGCACAGGATCTGAAACAGATGTTGTCAGAAGATTTGATCTCCAGTCGACTTTCTCACTTTTTTATCTGTGAGCATCTGAAGAGCTGCAAAAATTGCTCTAAAAAAGACAGTCCAAACTGACTAAATTGGCAGCCCATTAGAAGCTATTGTCTAGCCAATTTCTCTTCACAGAGTAGGAAAAAAGGAGAAAGGTGGGACTATTTTATCCACTAATATTCTGCCATGTTAATAAATTTCCTGCTGAAGTGTTGCTTGCTGTGTCATATAACTTTTTTAAATTTTTCATATCAACTAGAATAATATTGGTTCTTTTTCTGATATTTTTTTCTAAACTTTACAAGTAAAATAGATCTTTATAACATAGCTCGCCTTAAAGAGTAAAGATCTTTGACATTTCATAGTAACTTAAGAAAAAACATTTAAATTCCAGGATGATTATTGAATCTAAGAGTTAAGGACTAAACACTATGTTGAAAGCTAGTTTGGCTGAGTGCAGTGACTCACACCTGTAATCTCAGCCCTTTGAGAGGCTGAGGTGGGAGGATCACTTGAGGCCAGGAGTTGAAGACAAGCCTGGGCAACTTTGGGAGACCTTGTCTCTACAATTTTTTTTTTTTTTAATTAGCTGGGCTTGGTAATGTGTGCCTATGGTCCTAGCTACTTAGGAAGCTGAGGTAGGAAATCGCTTGAGCCTGAAACTTCAAGGTTACAGTGAGCAATGATGGCACCACTGCATTCTAGCCTAGGTGACAGAGTGACACCCTGTCTCTAAAAATTAAAAAGAAAGCTTGTTTTTAAATGTTGCTAATGGTTAGTTTGAAGTGCATCTCCAGCTTCTTCATATGACCCAATTAATTTATTAAATAATGGAAGAAGATTAGGTAAAAATTTTAAAAACAATTCTGTCATTGGGATCAATTTTACCAGGAGATAAAGCAGCTGAATTCTATCTTGGCTCTGTCTGTATTTTACCATGTAGCCTTGGGTATGTCATTTACCCTCTGCCTGTTATTTACCAAATGAGGGCGTCACCCTCAATAAACTGAGGTTTCTTCAAACTCTTTAACTATAAGCAATGGTTCTGGACCTTTTTCCCAGAGAGACACATACGTGGGGTCACATTCAACTCTCAGGAGCTAAATTGTATGTGTTTTTGTTGTTGCTGCTGCTGCTGCTGCTTTATTTTTAAGACAGCAATCTAGATAAAATAGGATACAGGTTATGCATAATTTCCAGTTGTAATCCTACCCCCTTTTTTTTTTCCCAATGATCACTGCTATTACATCAAGAACCACTGCTCTGAAGAACTTCACAGTCGTGGGCCATGTGCCACCTGGAAGATGTTTTTTAGTATAAAATGAATCAATTAAAAAATTATAAGACCAGGGGCTAACTATACATTCAGATGATTACATTCTGTCTCCCAATTCTCCTTACTTAGTTCTACCAAAATGAAAAGGAATCCCCCCTCCAAGGAAATCTCCAGAAGCCAAAGCCCTCCAAAGAAATCTCCAGAAGCCAAAGCCCTCTTGCTTTCTGGATGTCCTGATCCCTTTAAAAGGCTGGATCCCCTGTTTGTCAAGTGGCTGCCTTTGTTGAAGGCCCAGAAAGGTCTGCAGTGATAAGGTTTGCTCCGGGGCTGGCTACTGAGAGGCTTCTTGGAACTGAACAAGAGAGCTCTTTGGTTTCCTAAAAAGAAAGAGGAGACTGCTCAATAACAAAGTCTAATTTATCATCTCAGAGTCCCCCTTAATGGCAGCGAGATCCATATAGGTGCCAACCCAGACAACCACCCACATGTGGTTGCCAATATCATTCTCTTAAAACAGCCCTGCTCATCGGTGCTAATAAAAAGCACAGCACTTCCTCTGCCTTCCTGGAGCAAGGCCTTTAAATCTATTAGCAGCACTTCAGCTACCCAGATGCTTCCACCTTCTTCTGAAAAGCAGCCCTGTCCCAGAGAGATCACACTGAAATGGCACCTACTCGCATTCATATGAATCTCAGGCTCCGAGATGGCAGGCTGTCCAGCTGGCCTATAGACCGCAGTGCAGCACGCTCAGCCGTCAGCAGGTGGCAAAGATGTCACAAAACCAGCGTCAAATAAAAATATTAGAGCTGTACAGGAGTTAGCACGACCCATCTGGCCATGCTCTAGGTAATGGGACTCAGTGGAAAACTATTAGATAAGCAAGCTTGGACCTCAGATCATGGGCTACTCCATATAGGAAGAAAGATCTTCAGAAGGGGAATTTAATAAGTTGACAAGGTTTTAAATGAAAGTGTAACCGAGATATCTGTCAGCTGGGGCTTTCCTGTCCCTTGAGGTCTAAATGAGCTTTGCTTCAAATGCCGTGGTCTATGGCAATGTGGGTTCTGTGACTGCTTGGAGGCTTAGGGCCTCTGCCGTGTCTCATGCTTCCGTGTCTGGTACCTTAGCCCTGCAACTTGTCAGGTTGCCTATAAAGAAGGCAAGCTCATGTGTGAGCAAGGTGGACCTTACAAAAAGTTGGTGTCATTGTGGAGAATCACATTTCATATTGTACATTTCATTCCGTCTAGTGGTATAGTTAACAGTCCATATTAGACTTTCCTGTGCTCTTAAGCCTGGCTACTCAAGGTATGGCCAGAAGACTAACACCTGGATCACCTGGGTGTCTGTTAGAAATGCAGAATCTTGAGTCCTCCCCAGATTTTCTAAGTCAGAATCCATAATTACCAAGACACCAGGTGATTCAGCCCAATAAAGTGTGAGGAACACAGACCTAAAGTCCTTTTTCAGCTGGGTGCAGTGGCTCACACCTCTAATCCTAACCCTTTGGGAGCCCAAAGCTGGGGGATGGCTTGAGGCCGGGAGTTCAAAACCAGCCTGGGCCACAAAGCGAGACCGCCCCCCGCCCCGCCCCGCCCAATCTCTACAAAAAATTTAAATATTATTCGGGGATGGTGGCACATGCTACTTGGAAGGCTGAGGTGGGAGGATCACTTGAGCCAGGAGTTCAAAGCTGCAGTGAGCTAAGAAAGTGCCACTGCACGTTGTACTCCAGCCTGAGTAAAAGACCCTGTCTTTAAAGTCTTTAAAGTCTTTAAAAAGATAAATGAATAAATACAAAATACAACATTTCTTCCATTATAAATTAGGCCTTTGTTTTCCTAGCTGTTCCCTTCTGGGTAGAAGATTCCTCAGGGAAGGACCTGAAATCTGTGGTCGTCATTTCTGTATCCTTAGTACCCTGCAGAGAGATACTCAGAAATTAAGTGTTTTTCCTCCTGTCTTTCCTTTGGAAATCCCTACAAATTAACAGCAGTGGTCAAACAAATCCTGCCCCTAACTCAGCCCCTTGTCCTGAATTAGGGGCCTACGCTACCTTTCTGAGCTACCTCAGACCCACCTGCCTCATCCTGCTACTCATCTTTAGATAGGCCCCTCCTGCCCAACCCTTATCTGTCCTTTTGCTACCCAAGGGTTCCAGCTTTGCCACCAGCTACTTAGGTGTGACTTTTTGAAAATCACCCTACCTTCTGGGCGTCATCTGTAAAATGAGTGGATTTGACTCATTAGCTAGAGCTCTCAATGGCAGCATTGCAACTCACAGGTGTGTTTTAATCACTTGCAAGTGGTTTGCAAGTGACTTTTTATATGATCATTAAGGTTTGCCAGTGGGCTTTTTCAAATGAATAGAGCAGATTCAAGGTTATCCCTATGACTGTCATTTTCAGTAGCATTCTGGTGTGCTTTCTGAAACAGGAGAAAACAAATGGAGTTACAGGTAGCTCCAAGGATCACACACAAGCTTGGGACATATACAGCCGTGGAAATGTGTTATGTTCCGTACAGAAAAGTCACCTGGTTATCTGTTATACGTTTCAACAGCACCAAAACTGATCTACAAACTTTTCAGCCCCATCATCTTTTGGGTTATAAGGCCTGGTTTAAAAGACATAGTTTTTATTTTATCTGGAGAAAAGACTGCTCTTGAAAAATGTGAATTTCCAAATAGTTCCTGTGATGTAGTAGCTCCTCTTAAAATTTAAATCTCACGCAGAGACACTTAAGCAGGTGATGCTCTTTAAATTTTTTTTCTCTTCCTCTTTGGCTTTGCTTGCAGAAAGCGAGAGGAAGAAAACAAACGAAAAGAGGCAGAACAGCAAAAAGGAAGGCAGAGCCCAGATTCCTGCAGACCCCAGGCCCTTCCCTGTCTGACCAGCACCCAGGATGCGCCCAGCAGGCAGAGCCGGGCCCCCAGCAAGCAGCCTCCTGCTGGCAATGTGACCCAGGGGCCTGAGCCAAAAGACAGCAGAGGGTCGCCAGGAGGGTCTCTAGGCAGAGCCCTTCAGAAGGAGCAGCATGTTTCCTCAGATCTGCAGGGAACAAACTCCAGAAGGCCGAACGGTAGGTGTATTGCCTTTGTCATCTGCTGCCAGCCTATGGACTGTGGGCTCTTATGATTGCTGTGTTTAAACCAAGTACATTTAAAATAATCGTTATATTAGCACTTAGGACCACCACTTTATGATTTGTTTTGTACTTGTTTCCTCTTGTTCTCAGTTCTTTCGCTTTTTTCTCCCCCTTCCTACAGGTTACTTCAGCAGTTTTTAGGATTCCATCTTGATTGATTTATGATTTTTTTTCTTTTCTTTTTGAGAGTGACATGTGTAAACCTCACTTCCGTTTGTCTTGTCCACTCTTAAGTATCATTGCCTAGGTATCGGATGGCGTTATAAATTTTCTTTCAATCATGAAATACAATTTATAAAATTCACAAAGAAAAGGACATTTTCTGCACCCATATTTCTGCCCTTCTGTTGTTTCTTCTTCCTGATGCTCTAAGATTTGTGTATCATTTCCTTTCTTTATGAAGAGCTTTCTGTGGCCAATCTTTAAGGGTATGTCTGCTAGTAAAAAATTCTTTCAGTTTTCCTTTGTATGAGAATGTTTTTATTTCATTCCTGAAGAATCATGAGCCAGATGCAGAATTCGTGGTTGGCAGTTCTTTCCTTTTAGCACGTGAAAAATACTGTGCCATTTCCTTCTTCCTTCCATGGTTGCAGATGAGAAATCCACTGTGATTCAAACTGGTACTTCTCACTAATGGTCCTAGGTAATATGTCATTTTTCTCTGGCTGCTTTCAAGATTTTAACATTTATCTTTAGCTTTCAGAAGTTTAATATGATGTGTCTTGGCATGGGTTTTGCAGTTTATCCTATTTGGAGTTTACTTTTGTGCCAGGAATCCCCACCCCCAAGACTACCCCAGGTTTGGTGATGTTGGAGGATTTACTAGGGAGACTCAGCATATTGTTGTACTCCCAGTTCGGGTTTATTATAACAAAGGGACACAAAGCGAACTGAGCAGAGGAAAAGGTGTATGGAGCAAAGTCCAGAGGAAATTAGTCACGAGCTTCCAACAGCCCTCTCCCAGTGGAGCCACATACAACACATTTAATTCCTTCTGCAATAAATTGTAACAACCAGTCAGACAACCTTTTGTTGACAAAGAAAACTCATGTGAATCTAGGACTCCAGGATTTTTATCTGGAGTCAGTCACATAGCTACCCTCTACCTAGCATATGCCAAAATTCCAGACTCCCAGAAGGAAAGGTGTGCAGCACGAACCCTGTTGTTTGCACAAAGCAGTTTAAACACACTGAGCTATTCTTAAAAGCTAGAGAATGGTGGGAGCTTTCCCAAAATCTAAGTGCAAATGCCAACACAATGAAAAAGACAAATAGTGTCTTAGTATTTTTATGAAAATAGCCCTGATCTTATGCACTCTGTCAGAAAGGGGCTCTGGAACTTCATGATTACTGACTTCAGGGCTTGGACAGTTTAGTCTGTTTCTCTGAACCTTAACTTCCTTAGCTGAAAAGTGAGGGTATACTTTCTACACTGCAAGGTAGCTATGAATAGCAATAGTTCATGTAGAGTTCTTGTTATAGCCCATAACTCATCATAGGTCTTCAGTAACTATTATTATTAAGCCACACATTAGCCAAGAACAATTACAGAAAAGTATACATGAAATGACTACAGGCCAGGTGTGCTGACTCACGCCTGTAATCCCAACACTTTGGGAGGCCAAGGCAGGAGGATCACTTGAGACCAGGAGTTCAAGACCAGCCTAGCCAACATGGCGAAACTCCATCTCTACAAAAATACAAAAATTAGCCAGGCATGCAACTCAGGAGGCTGAAGCAGAAGAATTGCTTGAACCTGAGAGGCAGAAGTTGCAGTGAGCCGAGATTGCGTCACTGCAGTCCAGCCTGGGCGACAGTGAGACTCTGCCTCAAAAAAAAAAAAAAAAAAAAAAAAAAAAAAATATATATATATATATATATGTATATATATATATACACACACACACACACACACATATATACACACACACACACATAAAATGACTATAAACATTTCTGGACTATAATTCCATAATCTCCTTTACAGTGTAATCCTTAAAGATTACATACCCTTGATGCTTTGCTACATATTCATTCATTTATTCATCCAACCAGCTTTAATTAAGCTCTCATGATGTGACAGCCATGTTGAACTTCCTTGAGTTCTTTCCTAGCCTAGGGCCTTTGCAGATGCCATTCCCTCTACCTTACTTTTTAGATAACAGGGATGGTGTTCCTTCTTCTGTTCAACCATTATCTCCCCAGTAAAGGAGGCTATAGTTTCCTGCTATCTGCTCCCATGCTTCTATGCTTCCCTCTTATAAAGATCATCACTTTTTACTGTTATTACTGATTTACTTGTCATTTTTTCCACTAAACTGCAAGATCTGTAAGAGCAGGGTTGCTTCTGTTATCTACTGCTGTATAACAAACCACACAAAAACAAAGTGACTTAGAACAGTGACAATTTATTTTTTATGATTGTTTTGGTTGGGAAGTTTCTTTACAGGATTCATCTGGTCTCATGTGTCTACATTCAGGTGGACAGTCAGTTGAATTGCATGTCTAAGATATACTAACTTGAATGTCTAACAATTGATGCTAGCTATCAGATGGGATTCCTTGACTCTGTTTTACATGGTTTTCATCCTCCAGCAGACTAGACTAGCTCCCTTACATCATGATCTCAGGATGGCATTCTCAGAAAGCAAAGATAAAAGCCACAAGACCTCTTGAGAAATAGACTCTAGAATTTGCACAGATTGTATTGATCAAAGCAAGTTACAAGACCATCCCAGGCCAAATGATGTGGAGAAATAGATTCCACCATTGTGCATACTAAGATGGGAGGAATTTGGGGCTATTAATCTGTCATAGTTCCTATTTGGTCACAGACTATTCACATTACTCCCACAGGCAAGATCTTCTTACCTCTTTATGTGGATTGGCTCTATGTCCCCACCCATATCTCTTGTTGAATTGCACCTGGTGGGAGGTGATTGGATCATGGGGCGGATTTCCCCCATGCTGTTCTCATGATAGTGAGTTCTCACAAGATCTGACGGTTTAAACGTGAGTGGCACTTCCCCCTTTGTTCACGCTGTCTCCTGTCACCATGTGAAGAAAGTGCTTGCTTTCCCTTTGCCTTCTGCCATGATTGTAGGTTTCCTGAGGCCTCCCAGTCACGCTTCCTGTTAAGCCTGTGGAACTGTGAGTCGATTAAACCTCTTTTCTTTATAAATTACTCAGTCTCTGGTAGTTCTTTATAGCAGTGTGAGAATTTACTAATACATCTCTATCTCAGTGCCCCCAAAATCTCATCCTGATTGTCACATCACACTTGAAGTCTAGGATTTTAAGACATGAACCAGATGTGGTTCAGGTTTACCAGGTGGGTCTGTTTTCTGATTCAGAGACCATTCAGCCAAAAGATAGATTATCAACCCCCCACACCCAACAAACAAGTGGTGAGACAGGAACAGAATAACCACAGGAGACAAAACGAAGTGGACTAGGAGGTGCATGGCAGCCACTAGTCCATAGCAATTCTGAAAGCCAGCTGGTCACATTTTACCGGGGCCCCTATTCTGAGGTAAATATTCCTTGATTAGGGTCTCATTTTATTCCTGGTGGCTTCCTATTCCATTGTTCTCCATGGCTTTGGCTCTGCTACCTGAATTTTTGGCTCTGCTCTCTGAGAATTCCTTCCTTTTCCTAAGAAATGCCCGTGTTTGCAGCTGAGTAGCTTTTGCAGCCTATTTCCTGACTATAGGATATTGGGGCCCCAGAGGCTTCTTTTTGTTTTGAACTGTGTCACCAGTTCAAGCCTGTGGTACTCTCAATGACATGATTATCTCAAAAGCTTCATGGGTTTCTTGTGAATCTGACTGGATTCATTCCATGTTTCAAAAGCCACATCCATTCTTTTTTTTTTTTTTTTTTTTTTTGAGACAGAGTCTTGCTCTGTTGCCAGGCACCAGGTTTGGAGTGCAGTGGCATGATCTCAGCTCACTGCAACTTCCGCCTCCTAGGTTTAAGGCAATTCTCCTGCCTCAGCCTCCCAAGTAGCTGGGACTACAGGCGCATGCCACCATGCCCAGCTAATTTTTGTATTTTTAGTAGGGACGGGGTTTCACTATGTTGGCCAGGACGGTCTCGATCTCTTGACCTTGTGATCCACCTGCCTCGGCCTTCAGAAGTGCTGGGATTACAGGCATGAGCCACTGCACCGGGCCCACATCCATTATTTTTCAAACAAACTTTTCTCTATTTTGAGTGGCTCAGACTTCTGTGGGAAAATGCCCTTGCCATTCTTAGAAACTGTTTTGTCAAGCTGAGAGGGCCTATTATATTATGTACCACCTTAAATACTTTTGAGTCTTAATAAAGGGTTATACAACCATACTTTTTTTTTTCTTTTTGAGACAGGGTCTCGCTCTGTCACCTAGGCTGGAATGTAATGGTTCATTCATGGCTCACTGCAACCTCCTCCTCCCAGGCTCAATTGAGCCCCCCACCTCAGCCTCCTGGGTAGCTGGGACTATAGGCATGTTCTACCATGCCCGACTACTTTTTTTTTACATTTCTTTTTTATAGAGATGAGGTTTCATCATGTTGCCCAGGCTGGTCTCAAAATCTTGGGCTCAAGTAATCCACCATCCTTAGCCTCCCAAAGTGCTGGGATTATAAGCGTTAGCCACTGTGCCTAGCCTGATTGGATCTTTATGCTGAGGCCATATCTTACTATGAGACTCTTTTGCTGGCAGGAAAGAATAAAAATGTTAAAGTTTTATTTTCTAACCCAGCACATCCTAGGATCTTTACATTATCTCTGAACTTTGCTTACAAACTGAGCTGTTTTTTTCCCCATTTTATTTGATTTTCTCTCCATACTTTGTCATATAATTTTAAAGAGCAGTTGATATCTTGTTCTGCATTCCATCTGGAAACCTCCTGAGCTGTATCTACAGCTTCATTGGGTATATTTTCTATCTTCTAAGTTACTACAGGTAACAATTTTGCCACTTAATTCTGCCACTGATTAACAAGTTTCGCTTCTCGCTAGATTCCAACAGCAGTTTCTTCCCTGCTCTTCCAGCCTTCACCAGCAGTCTCTTCATTGCCTTCCCAGCTTCTGCTCGCCAACCAGTTCAAAGTCAATACCATGGATTTTCTATTACAAGACAGCACCTCTCTTTTATAGATGTAAATATAACTGGCTTAAACAACAGAAGTTTATTCCTCACAGTCCCATGGGCTAGCTGGGCAGTTCCTCTGCTTGATTACCTGGGCTCACTCATGAGTTGATAGAATTTGCACAAGATGTACCAAGATGGCCTCCTTCATATATCTGGCAATTGGTGGTGGCTGTTGGCCATCTCCATTCTCTTCTTTATGGCCTTTTGTTCTCCAGTTAGATTATCTTCCTTATATATATTGTTCTCAGAGCAGTACTCTTGACAGAGAAGGCAGAAACTGCATGTTACCCAGTTTATCCATTCACCTACTGAAGAAACATCTTGGTTGCTTCCATGTTTTGGCTGTTATGAATAAAGCTAATATAACATCTGTGTGCAACTTGTAGGGACATAAGTTTTCAACTCATTTGAGTAAATATAAAGGAGTATGATTGCTGGATCTTAGGTCAGAATATGTTTAGTTTTGTAAGAAACTGCCCAACTGTCTTCAAAGTGGATGTACCATTTTGCATTCCTACTAGCAATGAATGAAAGTTCCTATTGTTCCACCTCCCCACCAGCATTTGGTTTCATCACAGTTTTAGATTTTTGCCATTCTAATAGGTGTGTAGTGGTATCTTGTAGTTTTAGCTTTTTGGGGGGGCATATATGTGAAACATTATAGTGGCTCTAAGAGTCAGAGCTATACAAAAAGGTGTCATTAGAGAAGGGTCACTGCCTCTTCATCCCTACCATCCAGCTCCCATTTCTCCCTTCTTTCCACCTCTTTCCCACTCAACCCCTGCAAGTAACCAATTTCTTTAGTTTTTGCTTTATGTTTCCTGTATTTCTTTTGCACAAATGAGCAGATACAGGTATATTTTCTTATATCCTCCCCCACCCCCTTTTTTTTGGAGACGAAGTCTCACTCTGTCACCCAGGCTGGAGTGCAATGACATGATCTTGGCTCACTGCCACCTCTACCTCCCAGGTTCAGGCAATTCTCCTGCCTCAGCCTCCTGAGTAGTTGGGATTACAGGCATGCACCACCATGCCCAGCTAAGTTTTGTATTGTTAGTAAAGACGGTTACATGAAGCCAGGCAGGTCGCAAACTGCTGACCTCATGATCCACTCGCCTTAAGCCTCCCAAAGTGCTGGGATTACACATGAACCGCTGCGCCCGGCACATATTTCATTTTAGATGTTGTATGTAGTTTTTTCAACTCTATCCTTTTCTCATATTTTAAACTTCTTTTGTATGTTTAATCAGTCTGTGTGTGCTAAAGTTTTGGGAGATCTGATCTTGCTATTGGGTTCATTGTTGCTTGTGGTAGATTGTTTCCTCATGCATTTTGTGATTTTGGATCGTGAAGTTGTTTTCAGAGGACCTCTTTGTGGAGCCTGAGTTAAGGGCATGGCACACTAAAGCAGTATTGTGTTTGCTTTTATGAGGCATCCTGGGATATCTCTATCCTAAGTCCAGTTTTTATATTAATGTCTCCTATGGATTGAGAAATGAATACCAAGCCCACGTGAGGATGACGACTTTGGTTTTAAATTCTTATGGGAGACTCTTTACCCCATCCAGAACTTAGACTGAAACAGGATTCCTTGTCATCTCCAAGTGCTGGGGAGCAGATTTTAAAATACGGATTATCATTTCCAAAAGGTATATCCCTTCAAAAGTGTGGCTTCATGTAGAGTTTTTGTTCCAGTTAACTTTCTTCCTGCAAGGCCTCATTTTCTGTTCTTATGTAGATGTTAAAACACAGCCGGATATTTAATAAGACCATCTGTTGCCCACTCTACCACTATTACCTGCTTAGACAGTCACTGCATCAGCTCACACCCTTAACTGCTTTGATTTTCTCTTTTCTCTTTGTTTTTGGCCTCCGGAGTTCCTTTATTTTCTTAAAGGTATGATGGTGCTTTTCAAAGGATGGCCATTATACTTTCGTTAAGGTGAGAAGGCCTTCAGGTTATCTAACCTTCCATATTGCTGGAAATGGAAGTTAAACAGTTTTTTTCCTGGTGTAACTGCTACTATTATGGTGATGATATAGGCTAAGTCTGAATATTTTATATGAACATATTAGCAAAATTGTTTTACTATGCAAGTTTTACACAATATTTTTTCTTTGTTTCCCCAAGAAACAGCCAGAGAACATTCTAAAGGCCAATCTGCCTGTGTCCACTTCAGACCCAAAGAAGGCAATGATGGAAACAGGCATCCAGGAGTTCCCTCTGTTGAGAAGTCCAGAGGTGAGACAGCTGGCGATCAGCGGTGTACAAAGGGGAAAGGCTTCTTGAAGCAGCCCTCCTGTATCAGGGTGGCTGGGCCTGATGAGAAAGGAGAGGACTCCAGGCGAGCAACTGCAAGCCTTCCACTGCATGGTGGCCACTGGAAGCCCAGCAGGCGGCATGACACATCACCCAAGGCCAAATGTGCCCCCCAGAAAAGGCGCACTCAGGAGCTCAAAGGAGGAAGGTGCTCCCCGGCTGGTTCTAGCCGGCCTGGCAGTGCCCGGGGGGAGGTGGTCCATGCTGGGCAGAATCCTCCCCACCATCGTACACCAAGAAACAAAGTGACACAAGCCAAGCTCGGAGGAGGGCTCTATTCAGATCTGCCACAGAGCACAGAGGAGTTGAGGTCAGGAGCCCAGAGGCTGGGGACATCCACTCAGTCTGAGGACTTTCAGGAATCTAAGGAGACTGATTCAGCACCTGGTCCTCTCTCTGGGCAGAGTGTGAATATTGACCTTCTCCCTGTAGAACTCCGACTGCAGATAATTCAGAGAGAACGGAGGAGGAAAGAGCTGTTTCGCAAAAAGAACAAGGCAGCAGCAGTTATCCAGCGCGCCTGGCGAAGGTAAGAAAATGGGGTGCTGCCGCGTCTTTGGTTCTTTGGTTGTTGGTATTCTCAACATGGCATCCGTGGTCTGATGTTTTCCCAGTGAGTTCCATGTGGTGGCAGGGTAAGGCCAATTTTATGGAGCCTACCCATGAAATTCACAAAAGAGCCTAGTAATTTACATTGTGTAAACCATTTGGAAGATGTTTTTACCTAGAAAGACAGGAAAGTGCTCAGGACAGCATGGCGTAAAGGAAAAAGCCTTGGGTTTATAACCATGATATGTGAGGTTCAGGTAAGCTCTAACAGATGATGTGATTTTGGGCAAATCACATGGCCTCCCTGAGCCTCTGCTGCTTTATCTGTAAAACAGGATTTAATAATTGTTGTACATGTCCTGTTTATACGACAGGTTGCAGGAATGAGATAATGCACATTTCATTAATTCTAAATTACGACACGTAGGAGCTATTTTATTTTTATTCTTATGTCTTTACTACCCAGGACCTAGTCATACTCCAGACACCTAAACCAGGGTCTGGCTATGATGGACTGAGTGACTAAACTTTATTACATAAACCTGTCTGAGCATCTTCCAAGCTCAAAATTTGGAGTAGAGACTGGGAGTAGGAGTGAAGGCTTTCCTAAACCCTGAAACAGTGTCCCAAAATAGTAGAGACAAATGCCTCCAGGGGGTGATCATGGAAGGACTGGATAAGTCTTGCTACAAATGTTAACATCTCATAATGTCTTTCATTCCGAAAGCCTCACTAGAGCCTAAATCTAAATTAGGCCTTACAGTGATGAGTGTCCAGAGAGGAGCTGGACCCATTGCCAATAGGTAGGAGTTGGCTGAGTGTGGTGGCTTACACTTGTAACCCCAGCACTTTGGGAGGCCTAGGTGGGAGAATCACTTGAACCCAGGAGTATGAGACCATCCTGAGACACATGGCAAAACCCTGTCTCTATGAAAAATACAAAAATTACCCAGGCATGGTGGTACGTGCCTGTAGTCCTAGCTATTTGTGAGTCTGAGGCAGGAGGATCGCTTGAGACTGGGAGATAGAGGTCACAGTAAGCCATCATCATGCCACAGCACTCCAGCCTAAGCAACAGAGTGAGACCCTGTCTCAAGAAAAGAGATAGGTGGAAGTTACATTGCCACCATCACTGGGGAGAGGATGACCAATGGGGAGACAAGGCAAGCAAATGATGCGGGCACAGGTGTGCCAGATATGGAGGTTCCTGTCAGGGGAAAAAGGAAAACATTCTCTCCTTAACACTGGCAGGGAGAGAACAAGATAGATTCCTTGGAGGTCCACAGAGAGGCCTCCGAGTATCATACCAGAGACTGCCTAACCCAGAGCTGGGTGATCTTTGTGCTTGCAGAGTTTGCAATGTGTTCTCCCTCATGTCTGTTTCAGCCCTTGGCCATTGACAAAGTCCTCTCATGCCTGATCCCATGTGATCTCCCAGCCACACTAGGACGCTATCAGGACAGGGAGCGGTATCCCCATTTTTCAGACAAGAGAAGAAAAACTGACTTGTCCTTGTGGTGCAGATCCAGCAGTTGGACCTCTGGATGACTCAAATCCAAGGGCCTTGCCCTTACATTATTTAGTTAGTTTTTGCTGTGGTCAAACTAATGGAGGTGGAGGTGGGTCCCATGCTCTTTGCCTGAGAATAGGCTGGAGAAGTCTGCCTCAGTGGTGTCACACACATCAGGGTAACCAAGAGAAGGGTGATATTTCTCCCATTGTTAACATACTAGTAGTTAGTATTGGACACTTGTGCCAGACACTGTTCAAACTAGTTTTACCTGGATTAACTAATGTAATCATTACCAATAACCTTACAAGGTGTAGGTACTGTTCTTATCCCCATTCCACAGATGAGGAAACTAAAACACAGAGAGGTTCATTAACTCACCAACATTACAGAGCTAGCAAGCGCCCGGGCTGGCTTTGAGCCAAGACAGTTGGCCTCTAAAGACGCAGGTGGAAATGGTCATTGCACCCCCTTGTTGGGGAGTTAATGCTGGGACATGCACTGGCTACCATCCAGAGGAACTTTTTAAGTATTTTGGCTGAAATCTAGGATCTAAACAACCCATCAGGGATTACCATGCCAGACTCACAGCTGCTCCTACCTGAAATGTCTCCCTCTTCGACTGTGTTTTTTGCCTCCTTTGAAGAGTCAGAAGCTGACAGATCCTGTCAGTAAGTGACCAGAGTAGCAAATGAGACTTCAGTCATTCCCCCAAGAACAGTGGGCTTATAGTCTAACATGCCCACCTGGGTAGGCAACTACGCAGGCCCCCTCTGGATGTGCCATCGTGCAATTCTGAGGCCCAAAGGACTTCTGGGATTGTTGCACATTGCAGAAAGCCAACTCTGGTGACAGTAAAAATACTTTTATTGATTCTATTATATTTTAACTACATTTTCTATTGTAAATACAGGAGCCCAAGTGCTGTCCTGAAGCAGTATACATGATAGCAAACCTAAGCAGTGAGGGCTGGGGCAGGGCTCAGAGCTGGACATGTAAGTGCTCAGTGCAGGCTGTGGTTATGGGGGACAAGTGGAGGATGGAGAAAAGACGCTGGAAAACAGGGAGGGAAGGACTGGGCAGAATGAACCTGGGGTCCTGAGAAAATGAAACTTGATCTTAAAATTGCCAATTTAATAACCAAGTAAGAATTACTATTTTAAAGACTGAAACAGGATACTGGACAAGCTGAGCAGGAAAGCTGCTGCTAGGCACCGAGGGCTGACTAGCAGCTTCAGCCACACTGCCTGCGCTTCCCCACAAGTTCTGTGCCCACAAGAGCAGAAGGTACAGAAGACAGCATTTCAAACAGGAAAAACTGAATTATAGAGTGGTAGTGCATACTTTTCTCTAGACTTGGCTTTTTGGAAATGTGGTACGTATTCTAGTAGAGGGATGCCAGGTATTACTCTACTAGGAAAAGAGAGTCATGTAGGCTGACTAAAATCAGCCTTTGGGGAAGGAGGGAGGGGCTGCACCACGCACTGCAAAGAGCTGTTAGCAGACTTAGGAAAAAGATTACTTCCCATTTGGTGCAGCCCAAATGGGATCACTGTAAAATCAAACATAAAGCCTGTTGCTCTCTGCAGCTACCTATAGGCTCACTGGGAATAAAGACAGATACAGATAATTAACATTGCTGCAGCTTTCCTTTGGAGGCCTCAAAATAGTTGTTGTGCTAAGTTTGAAAATGCATGTGGGATAGAAAGCATCAAATAAACCCTAGATGTAAATATAGCCATAATCCCCATCCCTAACCCACTCCAAACCCACCTCCAACAGACATATCTTAGTAAGACGCAGCTCCTACTTTTACCACTCTAAAGCCCCCTTTCCTCACAAAATGCACAGTGCTTCCACCACACTGCATTACTTTCTGGCACAAATGCCCATAACTCTGCTGATGCCAGTTCTGCTGCATAGAATGCCCTTCACTGCCTGGTAAGCTCCTATTCATCTTTTAAAATCCAACACAAATATTAACCTTATGAAACCTTACCAAATCATCAGAGTCAGTCCTATATCTGTTTGCACAACCAGCTCCCTGCTGTTACACAGTACTCTCATACCACATGTACTCTTCACACAGCAGCCTGTCCCACTAGTCTGTGAGCTCCTTAAAGGCAAGGAATCATGATTGAATCCTAGTTCAGGAAGTGTTTGATGATGGAAAAATAATTCCACATTCAGCATGCTGCCGCTGAAATTAAAAATGGGAGCTTGAATGGACCTACCAGGAATTCAGCAAATACTATTTCTCTAGCTTCTAAGAACCTTGAAGAAATTTGGTTTTCTCAGTACTGTGATCTTAAAGCCTCTCTTCTCCTCTGACCCCATTAGCTACCAGCTCAGGAAGCACCTGTCCCACCTTCAGCATATGAAGCAGCTTGGAGCTGGAGACATGGACAGATGGAGGCGAGAATGCACAGCGTTGCTCCTCCAGGTTTGGAGGAAGGAACTGGAAGTAACACTCCCCAAAACCACTGCAGTAAGCAAGGCCCCCAAGAGTCCATTAAAGGGCATCTCAGGCACAAAGTCCACCAAGCAGTCACTGCTTAAGCAAATCTACGGTAACTATCCTTCTGCCTACTCTGTAATTCACAAGTACCCACAGAGTGCCACAGCAGAATCTGAAATGGAATTTAATTGCACTGGGCAAACTTCCTTTCAGATAAATCTATTTGGTTGGTGCAAAATTAATTGCATAAAAATTAATGGCCAAAACTGCCTTTAATTTTGCACCAACCTATTATTTTTCAAGCACCAAGAGAACAGCACCATTTTGTGCCTCCCTCCCAGCGATACTGGGTCAGAACTGGTTTCCGTGAGGCATTCTAGCATCTCAGCCCAGAGTGCCCTCAAGCTTTTTTGAAACCTCTCCAGCTCCTGCTTGAGCCTCCCCCTTGCATTACCCATTTGGGGCATTCAAGACTTAGCTAGACCCTGCCTGCATCACTTAGACTTTTCCTATGCTAAGATGTAGGGTTGCCCACTATGAGAATGCTCAACACCCATGCACTACAGTAAATACTTGTTCAGGAGATTAACTGCTGTAAATGGAAACATTTTCAGCTCTGCAAAGAGCCCATCCAAATAAACCCAGTAGAGTTCCAGAAGCCTTGCTGGCTCAAGAGAAAAAAAGATAAGCAAGGGCACCTTTAGAAAGATTTCCTACAGTCCAGGTAGCAAAATCTCAGGACTTTGCTCTGGGCCTACAGGGTTCCACACCATACCTAACTTATCTTGACAGACACCTCTAAGCTCAAGCCTTTACCGCAATAAGGAATTCAGAAATTGGTGAAACCAAAGCTATCCCTGGCCAAAGAAAAGTAACAGTCTTTGGTTCATTTCAGGTTGTTCTCAAGAAGGGAAAATACATCATCCCACAAGATCTATAAAAGCCCCTTCTGTGCTGCGTCTCAACTCAGGTAAGGCAGCCACTGCAAAGCACATGGTGGGGGAGAATAGGGAAGCATTTTCCTTTGTTTCATCCCCAAAGGTAGAACACATTAGAACAGAGATGGCCAGGGTTTTCCAATGGTTATCTGATTTCAGGTTTTATCCCCTTTTCAAGGGATTATTACTGTAGCCAACATTTGCCTCCCTAAGAGGCAAATTATTTTCGCAACTAAAAGCTATTATTAACTCCAATAGAAACAATAAATGGTAGCTATTATTGGTCACTTGTACACACTTTTTCACTAAAGGAGGAGATAAATGAAAATACTGTCATTCTTCAAAGGAATACCTTGGGAATCCTTGCTTCATTTTGGTGACACATTATGATCCTTTATTTCCTTCTCCAAGATGGAAAGAACACCATGAAGAGGACACTGAGAGCATGTACAGCCCAGGATCAGCTGTGCACATGTTCCCTCACACAGGGGAAGCTCAGGGAACTTTCTTTTCAGCTGCAAGACAAGAGTGTTTTACTTAGGCCCCCTCATTCACGCCAGCATTAAATATGGGTGATAAGTTCAGTGCTGTCAGCAGCTAATGCCAGGTCCGGTGTTCCTCATAGGTGGCTATGGCAACACGCTCCCCCCCCCACCCTCCCTGATCCACACAGTCATCCTGGAGGAACAGTGCAGCTGGGAAGGTGAACAATGACTGTCAGCATGAACTTTAACATTCATTTAGTTTTTGATGGGGGGCAAAAACCTGAAGGTGGGGGACAGAGTAATTACTGCCAAATCTTTATTAAGAGTTGGACAACTCATGTAATATAGACAGGCTGATCAGGGAGTAGTAGGTGGGGTAGTTAGAAACTTTCAAAGGAATCAAGGCCTACAGTTCGTTTAAAAAAAAAAAAAAAACCCTTTCGTTATAGCTGAGCAAATTGAAGAATCATTTCAAAAATGGAATTGTGAGATATCACTACCAGAAAAGTGGGATTTAGGCAATCAAATACTAGCATAAATTAGATAACTGAGTCATTTGCCACTGTCTTAAGAGAAAAACAAATCCAGGACTACCAGAAATCTTTTAAAATGGTGTTTAGCAGCATAAAGTTTTTTAGTTAAGGGACTCAGAAGGGACAGAGTAAATAAATTCAAATCAATACTTAATGGTTTCTTACGACTTCATATGAACAAGCAACTTATTTGTCCTACGCGTATTTTTGACTGGTTTAAAATTAGACAGGGATAATCTTTTCCTAACCCCAAATTTGGAAAGAACACAAGGTTTTGTTAGGCTCAAGCCCACCCACGTTAAGCATTAACCCGTTAATGACTATTATTGCTCTCACCCTCTAACTTGGAGAGATACCTCCTAAGGTTCCTTTACCACTTGAAAAGACAGAAAGGAGGATATAGCAAAATGCCAGCCTCCTTGGGCTGTTCTCCACATCTATTTGGGAGGCAGCAAAACAATCCCTGCTCACTCATCTTCTACAACCACCCCTGCAAACCTCCCACCAAGAATCTCAGCAGAGCTTTTTATTGATGCACACACACACACACCTGGGCCTATCTCTTTAACAATAAAACACCCTTTAAAATTCCATTCCAGTGAATGGAATAACTTTGATTAGTATTGGTACCCCCTGTACAAATCCAGTTTCTTCTCGTTCACCTACAGAGGGGTACACAGATGACAACTCAATTCAAATACAGTGAAGGCAGCCAAAAACAATAGTTCACATCAATTTTGTGGAAGTTAAAAATTGAGACATATGTTTGTTACTTTTTAAACTACTCAACCTTTAATGTATTTGCTTATATGCTCCATAAAAAGTGAGAAGCAAAATACAGCAATGTCTTCAGCAAGGTCTCTCAACTATATGGGGCCTCAGTATCATTTGTTGAAGTATATAACTAATGTTTTCTGTGGCACCCTATAAATGTTAATTCAAAATCATAAATGGCCTCAAAAATCCATTTTATAAGTCTGATATTCCCATCAGCTTATCATTCATGAGGATCTGAGTATTTTCTAACAAACCTATTTTCTAGAACAGACTATTCAAAGTGTAATAGGCAAGTTAAAAGATGTGTTATGTGTTTATGTAATGTGTTACGTGAGAGACACAGAGAATACATTAGTTCTTTCAGGCAGACTGAATACCTAGGTGCCACTACTGTACTAGCTCCCCAAGTGCCTGCTCTCTCTTAATCAAGTCTCCCTTGAAGAGATATCCCATATCTTGAGACTGCAGAAAATATAAAGCTATTCTATTAAGTCATCCTGCCTCTACAGTAAACTGGCCTGTCATCCCAGAGATAGCCTAAACCTAAATCCTTCTTCCTCACCACCAATGAACTGTTCCCTTCAGCATTAAAATTAGTAACTTAAATATCTATCTGGTATTTGTTTTTAACAGTGAGCAACCTACAGTGTATACAGCTCCTTGAGAACAGTGGAAGATCAAAGAACTTTTCCTATAACCTGCAATCAGCTACTCAGCCAAAAAAACAAAACAAAACCTCAAGTACTTATGGAGGAAGACTGTGTTCAGGAGATCTGGCATAGCTAGTGCAGCATTCGAATTTCCTGCTGATAATCTTGTACTCCTTGGGAAAACTTTAATATTCGTAACGGAAGGCTTATTCACCTAAAAATGTATTAACTGAAAGAAAACGTCAGAATGTTTCCTTTCTGCTAACACAGCATTGTTCTGTCAATCACCATAGCCTGCCCGGAAATGACCAGCATAGACTACATCTGTGCAAAATGCCATGCTATCTGCCTTCACCTCAGTCTGTATGGTTGGAAATGAGAATTTATAATTAACAGTAAAATCTAAGGAAAACTCAGGCTGCCAGCTAGCTCATACTGGCTTCTTGGCTCAAGAGATGAACCTAAATGAGATAGGAAGCCTGTCCCATAGCAAGCAGCCTTCATCTCACTACTTTCCGGGAATCTAATGCAACAAACTTATCACACACACACACACACCACATCACATCCCACTGTTACTTCAAAATTAATCAGGTTTAAATTTTAGATCAGAATCATGCCTACTGTTTGCATTTAGAAATTATCCAAAAGACCACAGATATATTCTGGTGATTCCTTACATTTTACAGTTACTCCATTAGTCTCCCAAGGCCACAAGTTGTCGCCATGTCTTCTCTAAATGGCTTTCTCACTGCTCAATACCAACAGCCGTATTACAGTATCAAGGATTCTGTCAGGTAGGGTTTACAGACCAGACTGTTCATGCAGCAAGGTGCCAACTCAGGCTTCAATGTTCTACTTGTATTTTCTGACCAACTTGAAGAAGTGAGCAATCTTCTTAAAATACCATTCCTGTTGGCAGAGAAGAATGTAACGGCACACATCCTAGCGTTCTAAGAACACCTGGTTTAAATAAAATCCAGCAATCTTGGGCTCTTTCACATTGTTTAAGAGTAAAGCTGCTATGGGAATATAGACAGTAGGCATAAACAGTGATATATAAGACTTACAAATATTTTGGGAGTTGCTTTCATTTTCTTAAGATCAGTGCCACTCGTGTGCTAACGATAAAAGACAGGAGGCAATGAAAAGTTAACTTATTACCTTGATTTTCAGTTTGCTAACTATTATATTCATCATTTTCGTGGTCGTGAAAACACAAAGAATGAGATCTGCTTAGATGGGATTACATTTTTTAGTAAATAACAGAAGGTATCACAGTATCACTCTCTATTTTGTAAATATTCAGCTCCTATGAAATGCAAAATGCACAACCACCTGTGACCATGTATTGTGTACTTGTCTAGGAAGCCAGCCTGCACATCAGTGGGAACTCCCAAGCATTATTTTCCTACATCAGTGCAAAGCAAGGTTCGTAAACTTCTTTAAAAGTTCAGCTTTAATGACAAAGATCTATTACATCAGTCTTTCTTCAAAATAAGATAGATGTGAATAAACAACTTCAAACAGGAGGTACCATGGACTCTTCAATACACCGTACTCAGTGCGCTGGGCCCCTGGGGATGCCCAGTGATATACACGTTGAAGCAGTAATGTAAGTCTGTGAGCCACTGTTCCTGAACACTTCCACTCTTCAATGTCTGGAGAGAAAAACAAGAGTAATTTGAGAATTGTACCCAAATCACTATGCTACCTGACAGCATTTTTCACACCCAAACACAATTTTCCAGAGCTTTGGCAACTGTATCCCTGTCTATAAATTACCATAGGAAGTCTTCCAGGAAACAGGGAACTATTAATCAGGCATTATCACAGGCAGTGAAAATTCCCAGTAATATCCGCAAATGCTAACGGTTTCTTGTTACGTCTGTTCCCTCCTGCACATGCTAGAGACTAATGAAATGTCACCACCAACCATCCTTTCACCCTTGCCTCCGTCTTGGCATTCTAGTGTCTCCTGATCTTTACACCAACACCAAATGAGAATAATTCTACAGGGCCAACCAACAATTTCTGTGAATCTCTTTACAAAGATGGGCTGATTCTCCAATCTGGAAATAATCGAAGCTCTTGATTTTCTTCCCTTCACTCTTTCTGAATTATTCCACTGCCACTTCTATTACCTCTACAAAGGCTACTGAGAAAATTCTAATGAGCACCTGTATTAATTATATGCATGTAAAAGCATTTTTACTTTCGAAGTATCACTACAAATCTCAAGGGTAATCTGCAAATCACACTATACAAAACACATTTTTAACCCCCACAAACTAAAATCACCAAAGGAACCCTAAACATAAACAGAGCTGCCCCCGCCAGACAGACACAGCTGAAGGCAGAGAGCCATCCATTAGACAAAGCTGAAGTGTGCAACTTCTGGTTTTCTTACTTTCCAGTGAACTAAGTGACTAGAAATTGGCCTGAAGCTTATTCCTGCTAAATAGTTTCTTTAATGACAATATTTATTGAGCACTTAATATATGTCAGATATACTAAAAACTTTACTTGGGTTATCTCTTTTAATGATCACCAAAACAAAATAAAGTTGGCATTATTCCCATTTTTACAGATAGGAAAACAAGCTTGAATAGGTAAGAAAGAAAAACCTTGCCAAGATGTCTCTGATACAGAATACATTCTGTATCAGAGTCTACGTAGGGATGACTCTGATGCCCTTTTCAAACTAAGCTTTGGCACCTTCATTCAGTTTGATTATTTTAAGACTTTTATTACCGATTCTGGAATCACAGACACACTCCCCATTAAGTCACAGTCAGGTGCTGAACAGCAGGAGAGACCCTGAGAAATTACCACATTGGGCTTAATTCCTAGACTCAATGTATGGAATCTCTTTCCTCCCTCAAAACACACCCCCTCATGCCCCTGTCAAAAATTCATTTTTATGCTAATATTACAAAGCCTCTGGTACCATGCTTCTTACCGTGATATTCTTGATGATCTGCTGCACCAATATCGCGTTGGTCAACATATGAGTCCTGAGGGGTGCATGCTGAAGCAGCAGTCGAAGCAGCTGGCCCACCACAGGAAGCTCCTCTGGCCCAACTCTGTTCACCCGCAGGCTCTGCAGCATCAACCTGAGTACTCGAGGCAAGAGAGCCAGGATGGAGACACAGACCCCCCATAGCTTGTCCCTACAATAACAGAGACAGAAATGAGTAAGTGAGCAAATGCACACAGGAAAAGCCCTCTTTCCATATTCCCCCAAATGTCCTTTAAGAAATATGTTTTCCAAAAACATTTAAGCTGAAAGCCAAATCAAGAATGCAATCCCACTTATAATAGAGAGAGAGAGAGAGAGAGAGAGAGAGAGAGAGACACACACACACACACACACACACACACACACACACACACACACAAAAATACCCAGGAATACATCTACCCAAGGAGGTGAAAGATCTCTACAAGGAAAGCTACAGAACACTGCTGAGAGAAATCATAGATGACACAAATAGACGGAAAAACATGGATTGGAAGTATCAGTACTGTTAAAATGGCCACAATGCTCAAAGCAATCTACACATTGAACTGTATTCCTATCAAACTACCAACGTCATTCTTCACAGAATTAGGAAAAAATAATCCAAAATTCATATGGAATCAAAAAAGAGCCAGAATAGCCAAAGCAATCCTAAGCAAAAACCACCAGACTTCAAACAATACTACAAGGCTACAGTATCCAAAACAGCATGGTACTGGTAGAAAAAGACATAGACCAACGGAACAGAAAACAGAACTCAGAAATAAAGCCATATACCTACAACTATCTCATCTTCAACTAAGGTGACAAAAACAAGCAACAAGGTAAGGACTCCTTATTCAAAAAATGGTGCTGGGACAAGTGGCTATACTTTTGCAGAAGAATGAATTTGGATCCCTATCTTTCATCATATACAAAAAAATACCTCAAGCTATAAAAATCCTAGGAGAAAACCTAGGAAGTATCATTCTGGATACAGGCCTTAGCAAAGAATTCATGATTAAGTCATCAAAAGCAATTGCAAAAAAAAAAAAAAAAAAAAGAAAAAGGAACAAAAAAAAATTAAAAAAAAAAAAAAAAAAAAAGACAAATGGGCACTAATTAAACTCAAGAAGAAGAAAAACTATCCAAATTTCATGAAACATGGTGTTTTTCACTAACATTCAAGCTGAGAGCCAAATCAAGAACAATAAACATCATTCACTTGATATCTTTATAGAGCAAGAGCAAAATATGGTAGAGACAGGTGAACTTGCAGCTGGACTAACCATATTGTACAAGTGTTAATTAGATGGTGTAATATTCATTTGGATCTAGAGTCCACTGACTATGATAGGCTCTGTCCTTTTTGCAGCTTCTTTACCAGAAGCATGTAACCCTCCTAGTTTCCAAATCTTTCTAAGAGAACCTGACTACCTCCACGTCTAGAGGGACCAGCCCTTTCACCATATAACTAATTTCCCTGATTCCACATATGATAATTGCATCTATGGTGAATCATGAATCCATTCTAGGCCAAACAGATACTCTTATGCAGAGCCCAGCTGAGACAGTCATGTACAAGGAGAAAAGAGAAAGCCAAACTGCAGACATAGCTAATGCTAAGGCACAGATACAGACTACACAAACTAGAAGAAAAACAAGAGTAAGCTGCTTTGTCTCTTGCTAAATTTCTAATTCCTAGCCCTTGAGTTTTACAAATTACTCCTGTAATAACCAAATATTTTCATTTTCTACTTCTGTTAATGTGAGTGGATTTCAAATAACCACAGACCTATAAAAAAAGACAGCATAGCTCAAGGCCAGATGGGTGAAACCTCTATGTGACAGAAACTATAACAAAATTAATATAAAGATACCCAACAGTGATACAGAACTGTATGTCGGATTTTAGGGCTAGGATTTTCAACAGTCAACAATACTGGAAGCTGAGGCTTCAGAACCCATGTATGGAAGGCAGGGAGTTTGAACTATGCTCCTTGAATAGAAGGAGAAGCCAGAAAAATGCAAATATCAAACTATCCTACAGGAAGTCTCTATAAGCCTCCACAGAACTCCCACAAAAGACACACTTAGGGCAAAGATAGGCAATCCAAAATATACAAGTCTGTTCAACTTGCTCCCTAACATAAATGGGAGAATTCCCACACCAAAGAAAAAAGGAGCTAATGGAACAAGAAGTTTAAAGAAACATCAACAAACCAAGAACAAGCAAGAATGACAAAATAACAAATAAAAATCCAAAACAGAAACAAATCCAAAAGAAAATAAAACAACAGTTGATGAAATAAAATCTCAGTAGGAGGATTAAGTAAAAGAATTAGCAAATTGAAAGGTTTTTATCAGATAAGACAGAATAAAAAGCTCCCTATGTTTAAAAGGAGTTTTTAGAAGAGAATAGAAACAATGGGAGAAGATGGTTCAAAATTAACAACTTTCCAGACCTGAAAAAAAAAAATTAAATCTATTACAGAAGCACAAAACCTATACTTGGACGCATCCTGATTTGCAACAGACCAAAGATAGAGAGGAAACAGTAAAAATATAGATTACTACCTGTAAGATCACTGCCTATAAACCAAGAGGGCTCAGACTAACAACAGATTTTTCATGAGTAACACTGAGGCAAGCAGACAACAGAACAGTATCTTCAAGGCACAGCAGACAGTACTAAATAACTCGACTTGGTCAAACCTAACTTTCTGGCCAGCATTTGTGAAATCAAAGGCTCCTCAATAATTTGACCAGCATTCTCATCATTTTATAATCTTATAAGCACCTTCTCCAGTGGGGAAAAGAGAATTTTAGGTATACCCAAGACTTCGGCTGCCAACTGTGCCTGATATCCTAAAATATGTACAAGATCCTAGTAACGTCAACCTTTCCAATACCCAGTATAGAACACCTCTAAAACTGGGCATTTTAAACAGGCAACAAGTATTATGCACACTTAATTTTGTTCAGTGCAGCCACATGACGTCAAAGGATGTTTATAAGAGACTACAACAGATCTTTGAAACTACATCAAGTTGTTTTAGGGGCTATATTTCAAGTGACAGGAAATGACAAATAGCAATATATACATTTCCTAAGTGGGGAGAGCTTATAAAATCTCTAGAACCCTGAGAAGTTCCTTGCTACTTATAAAGCCTTTTCTTGATCTGTCAGACCTAAAGCTTGATGATGTATAAGAAAAATATCAAATTTATGTTATGTATAAATGTTATAGCATATTTAAAGTGAAATACACATTTTTTTCCATACACACCTAACTCTTTTACTAGAAAAAATTTGAATGCTGACAATAAAATGGCTAAGTTATGATACATGCATATAACAGAATACTGTTCAGCCAAGTATGGCCACAGGTCAAATCCAGTCCATGACATGTATTTGTAAATAGTTTTACTGGAACACAATTGTACTCATTTATTTACATATTGATGCTTTCATACTACCATGGTAGTGTTGAGTAGCTGTGACAGAGACCTAATGGTCTGCAAAACCTAAAATATTTACTAACTGACCCTTTATAGAAAGAAGTTTGCTGAACTTGGTATGGAGAAATAAAAATGAATGAAATACAGCTAAATGAGGCAACTTCAATCAATCTCAAAAACAATGCTGAGAGAATCAAATCACAAAAAAATACATGCAGTATAATCCCCATAAAGTTCAGAAATGTGCAAAACAAACGTGATACTGTTCACAAATGCAAATAAACCATTTTTATTATTGTATTTAAAAAGGCAACGAAGTTGATCAACACCAAAGTGATCTGGGGCAGAGGGGTACGTAGTAGACATTTAACTGTGCTGGGTACATTAACAGCATTATGTGCTAATGATATTCTATATCCGAACCTGGGGTTGGTTGATTGGAGGTTCAGTGTATAATTATCTTTTAAACTACATAAATGTGTCTTATATGTTCAGTATATGTATCTTCATGTCATTTACAAGTTCAAAAAAGGCCAAAAGGGCACACATCAAAACATTAACAGAAGATGACAGAGTATTTTCTCATGTTTGCCAACCTGTTAAGAGTTTTTAAAACCTGCCACAATGAACTTTTAATAGGCGCACCAATAAGAATATAAGCATAAAACACTTTTTAAAGTAAAATCTTCCCAACTATGCTAAAAGCTCTAGCCTGTTATATATGAGCAAAAGTACTAATTAAAAAACACTAGCATCTTAGAGAAATTTCCTTAAATCCAAGATTTGAAATTCTACTCTGGCTAGCTCTAATGAAGCTCAAAACAAAATACAAAGGTTTGTAGTAATAGCCCATCCTCCTAAGGGTAGAATTATTTTTCTTGCTAGACTTATAGCAATATTAATAAGAGAAACCTCTCAAGAAATTTTATAATGCCATCTAACTTTTCAAATTTGTAACTTAAAGGGAAAAAAACAAAAAACTAAAAATTAGTTTTCACTACAACACAAAGGGGATTCATGAAGGAACAAAGAAAACGCTAGCTAGGCTGACACAAACTCTCTGAAAGAGAATTTAAGATCTTTGTATAACCTAATTATCGTTAACTCTATTATTATTTGGTTGGGGGAGGGGAGACAGTAGAAAAATTAAGGTTGAAGAATTAAAAATAATTACCTCTTTCTTAGATGTTCTGCTTCCCCTTTCTCTATAGTGAGTAGAAAATAAAGAAGACTGTAGCAACAAGAAGCCAGAAATGGCAGTAGAGTCTCACTAACTACACAAGTATGATCCAGGAGCTTACAGATAACACCAAAAACACAGCCAGCCGTGCTGTCAGGAATTACAGTCAACCCAACCTAAGCAGAGAAAAACAAGATTAATTATGGCTTCAAAACAGCCTCCCTCCTCCAGATAAAACCAAAACCTGTTAAATCATGATTAATTTTACATCATTTCTACTGAAAACTGATACATACCTAACACATGCCACCTGCCACACCTTAAGGTCCTGTTTTCCCTTGAGAAGTTCATCCCTAAATGACTATGAAAACATGCAAATGCAAGAAGTGCTATTAACCGAATCCACTGCCTCCCCTTCATGACAAAATCTTCGAAAATCTTCTGTAAAATGTCTATTTATAGTTAGAAATAACTATTTAAAGGGATTGTTTCATGCACTCAAAGCAAATCTTGTTACCAACAATCATACTTAAAAATGTTTAGATTATTCAGGCTGGAAAACTCGTATCTGGCACCACTCCTATGACAGGTAATTAAACGTATAAATAGTTCATTTAAAAATTAGCCTTCCTCTGCACTTTGATTTAAGTCATTCAGACATGAATAAACATACCTCTACTGTAGTCAGTAAAAGATATACTATAGTTAACATTTGACTGCTTCACTGCCAAGAAACCCAGGCAGGGTCATTACGGTTTGCTAATTCATCTAGAATATACTGTATGCATTGTTGTTAAGGCAGAGTCTAACTTGTAACTGCATATATACATGGTTTCAATCTCCTGGAGACTACTGTTGAGGAATTATCTTAAAAAGTCTGCAAATTCTGATGTCTTAACTTCCTCCACAGGCTATCTGAAAATAGTGGCCAAGACTTACTGGCATATTGATCTTTTACTAATGAATATATTCAAAGGAGAATGTAATCTCTGGAGTGGAGGTGGGGGAAAATATTGGCATCATTGATGACACAGGGATAAGGACTGGAAGTCTGATAGCAGGGAGAAAGTACTAGGAATTCAAAGCAGTACTCTCTTCCAACTCAAGGGAAATAACATTTTTAAAAGAGGAAAAGGGGTCTGGATATGCCTATATTTTATCCAAACAAGTGTGTTTCCCAAAGATATAATTTCAGAGCCCTCTTTTGTACTATAATACATTATAATAAAAAAACAAAGATAAGAATGTAAACACTGGAGGAAGTCAGAAGCCACTACGGAAGTATACCTAATGTGAATTTTATACCAATGGAAATGAGACACCCAATATCAAATAACAGGTCAGTCTCAGGGTTGAGTCTCCAGCTTCCAGTGACCACACCTTGTGTCGGGTTAGATGATGACCCTACTTTGGACCCCAAACCTTCTAGGTGGAACCCAGACTCCAGTCTAGATGTTGAATTCTCAATACACTGAGGCCAACCAAATATGAATTACAAGAACATTCGAAGTTGGAAAGTATTTCAAGTTTAATTTTCAGGTCCCTATTTCACTGATGTAGAAAAGTGAGGTCCTAAGAAGAGACTTTTCTCAAGGTCACACAATTAAATTAATAACAACCAGGAAAAATACCAAGATTCCTTAGTTCTTGCCAATGCATCATGCTACAAGAGGCTATGGTATCATTAAGCTTAGAATTCCAAACATGCTCTTTCTGTGGCTATGGTCAACTTTATCCTAATCAATGCATCTTGTGTTCTTTCCTAAGAGAAAGTTTAAGGATACTTACCAAATGTTTACTGATGGCACTTTGCAGGATGTCAAAGCTCTGACTTCGGGCAGGAATAACCAATAAACTGTGAAAAACTGCCTGTCAGAAAAAGAGAAAACCAGCAACCAAATCAGAACATTTTAGGTCAGAAACAAGTTCAATACACTCCTTTTTTTTTTTTCTTTTTTTTTAGACAGAGTCTTGCTCTGTCGCCCAGGCTGGAGTGCAAATATGTAATCCCAGCTCACTGCAACACCCTGGTGACCCAGCTCACACCACCACACCTGGCTAATTTTTGAATTCTTAGTAGACCTGGGGTTTCACCATGTTGTCCAGACTTGTCTTAAACTCCTGGATTCAAGCAATCTACCCTCCTCATACTCCCAAAGTGCTAGGATTACAGGTGTGAGCAAAAGTTCCTTTTAATAATTACTTGCTCTGCATATTAACAGGAAACACATAACATATTACTTTGAAGATGCAAATGTCAAAGATCAAACTAATAGATCTTATATACGGCCTAATTTTCCAAATAATTCATCTACTAATCATGTACTGAATATTGAGCTAGCCCCTGTTAGGTGCCATGCACAGGAATAAAAGGAGGAGAAACCTCTTCTTTCTCGCAACCCTCAAGGAGCTTACAATCTACCAACATGGAGACTATACAGTAAGTCCTCACTTAACAACTTCAGCAGATTCTCGGAAACTGTGAGTTTAAGTAAAACAATGTATATTGCAATCATTTTTTTCCCTAATCAATTTTATTAAGAAATGTTTTTTGCCCAGGCCTGGTGGCTCATGCCTATAATCCTAGCACTTTGGGAGGCCAAGATAGGAGGACTGCATGAGCCCAGGAGTTTGAGACCACCCTAGGCAACACAGTGGGACCGCATCTCTAGAGAAAAAAAAAAAAAAGTTGGTCAGATGGGGTAGCATGTGCCTGTGGTACCAGCTACTCAGAAGGTTGAAACAGGAGGAACATTTGAGCCCAGGAGATTGAGGCTGCAGTACGCCATGATCATGCCAGTGCACTCTAGCCTGCATGACAAAGTGAGACACTATCTCCAAAGAAAAAAAAAGTTATTCAGGGACCTGCCATGTATGTCATTTCAGTTTCCTAAGCAACCTACTGATGATGTTAAGTGAGGACATACTGTATTTCTGTTGAGTACTACAACAGAAAGATCTGAGTGATGTGAACAAAGGCTAACAAAAGCTTTTTTGCCCACCTGATAGAGAAATGTATCACAAAAAAAATTTATGACCCAGAAAATACCAATATCCTGTTCAACTTAATTGTAACACTGCCTCCTACTCTCTAAAGGTAAAAGAGAAATCTGCACAGAAAGTAGTTACAAGTAAAACGCTAGTTTTTTGTTTGTTTGTTTTGAAACAGTCTTGCTCTGTTGCCCAGGCTAGAGTACAGTGGCGTTATCTTTGCTCACTGCAACCTCCACCTCCTGGGTTCAAGCAATTCTCTGCCTCAGCCTCTCGAGTAGCTGGGATTACAGGCCCCCACCACCAGCGCCCAGCTAATTTTTTTGTATTTTTAGTAGAGACAGGTTTCACCATCTTGGCCAGGCTGGTCTTGAACTCTTGACCTCATGATCCACCCACCTTGGCCTCCCAAAGTGCTGGGATTACACGTGTGAGCCACCACATCCAGCCAACCCCTAGCATTTTTAATTTCCTAAGCTCTTGGAAAAATGAGAAAAGTCAAGAACAGTACTAAGTCCTTCACAGATGTCAGTCACAGCACAAACTCCAGAATCTGATACAGTATGCTACCAAAAATGAAATATGTAGAAACATCACATGAAAAAACAAGAATGGTGGAAGGAAGAATGCCACTCTAGGAAGAGAGAAGTCATTTAAGTTCAAGAGAACTGTCATCTAGCCCTGAAAAATCGAGACTTTTCATACTTATTATTTATAGATTTGAGAGTGGGGGGACAGAAATGAACTGATCTATGTACTATTTCTCTATAAAATATCCTGTATATTGATATAACCCAGAGATTCTACTTGGTAACTTTTCTTTTACACCTGTAAGTAACAATGAGAAAAACCTCATTTCCAAGGCTATCTTCCTACTTCAAAGCAAACATGGTGAATATTTTCATCAATCAGAGGTAAACCACATTTGAAAAGTACACATTCAATAATGACCACTTCACTTCCCTTCTGCCTCCCCTTGCTGCCCTAAACAATTCAGTTCTAAAGCCAATGGGTGGGGCCCAACTAGGTAAACTTTGGCACTGGATTCAGTGGGAGTACGCAGATTGCCCAGAGTAGACCGCCCCTAAAAACCAGCATCCAAATGGAGACGAGAGGGGTGGCAGCAAAGGAAGACTGACTACAGAGAAACTGATCAGGTAAATATATTAAGTATAACTGGAGCCAGGAGAAAGCAGGTATGAAAAAGGCACAGGATGTAGCTAGAATAAATTCTGTGGTGGTGAATGACTATTTTATGTCCCATAGGAGGATATAGAGAAGCAACACCAAACAGCAATGAACACACCTAAATTCCACATGTTGGTTTCTAAATACCATTCTCCACCGTTCTTTGTAGAAAACCGGTCTGCCACAACTACTCTAATACAATCTCCTGTTTCACAAATCAGAAAACACTTGAACTTTCCCCAAGTATCATACCAAGAAAGTTACATGTGTTACCATAACCATCAGAGGTTGAGCTTTCCCTGAGAATTTACAAGTCACCACACAGACCCTGAGAGATAAAAGCAAGGTGAAAACCTAAAATGAATGCAAGATTTCAAGACCTGTAAGTAAACACAGTACCAGGCACTAATAAAAAGAGGACATCATTGGCATGACCCTAGCATTATGACCAGAGTCAAACAAAGCCATGAGGGAAATAAGTTAAATATCTATAAAATATATAGTCCCTAGAGACAGGAAGAGCGTGAAGAGAATTCAACATAGAATGAATATATAAACTGAATAAGCAAATTGGTATACCAACAACAACAAAAGAATTAGGTCATAACTTGAACCTAGAGACTACCCCGTTGAGAACACTGTCAAAACTATTTAACAGGTTGGGCGCAGTGGCTCACACTTGTAATCCCAGCACTTTGGGAGGCTGAGGCAGGTGGATCACAAGGTCAAGAGTTCAAGACCGGCCTGGCCAACACAGTGAAATCCCATCTCTACTAAAAATATAAAAATTAGCTGGGCGTGGTGGCAGGTGCCAGTAATCCCTGCTACTTGGGAGGTTGAGGCAGGAAAACTGCCTGAACCCAGGAGGTGCAGGTTACAGTGAGCTGAGATTGTGCCACTGCACTCTAGCCTGGGCAATAGAGCCAGACTCTGTCTCAAAAAAAAAAAAAAAAAAAAAAAAAAATCAGCTAAGTGAGAATATTACTTCAGATTATGCATGAACAAATGAAACCAAAATTACTTAGGATGACATAACTTTGCATTTTCACTGGACAAACACCTTTGAATGTTAAGAAACTTAAGAAATAAAGAATAGGGCTGGACACGGTGACTCACGCCTGTAATTCCAGTACTTTGAGAGGCCAAGGCATGCAGATCAGCTGAGGTCAGGAGTTTGAGACCAGCGCAGCCAACATGGTGAAACCCCGTATCTACTAAAAATACAAAAATTAGCCAGGTGTGGTGGTACACGCCTATAGTCCCAGCCACTCAAGAGTCTGAGGCACAAGAATCGTTTGAACCCAGGAGATGGAGGTTGCACTCGGCTGACACTGTGCCACTGCACTCCAGCTTGGGCAACAGACTGAAACTGTGTCTCAAAAAAAATGAAATTAAAAAAAAAAAGAGAGACAGAAATCAATAGATATGTAGTCTTCTTGTATGGTTTGTTATCAGGTGATACTGGTGTCACAGAATGAATTAAGTATTCCCTCTTCTCTCCTTGATTTTTGGAAACAATTTCAGGAGACTTGGTAGTAGTTCTTCTTTGTACATTTGGTAGAATTTAGCTGTGACTCCATCTGGTCCTGGGGTTTTCATTCTTTGGAGATTTTTTTATTACCAATTTAACCTTACTATTCATTATTGGTCTGTTCAGATTTTCTGTTTCATCCTGGTTCAAACCTTGGGGAGTTATATATTTCCAGGAATTTATCTATTTCCTCTAGGTTTTCCAGTTTGTAGGTGTATAGTTGTTTGTAACAGTCTCTGTGCTGTGTGTCTCTAGCTGTTATGTCTCCTTTTCATTTCTGTTTTTGTTTATTTGCATCTTCACTATTCTTGCTTAGTCTAGGTACTAGCTATCAATTTTATCTTTTTGAAGTACCAATTTTGCATCCTGTTGATCCTTTGTATTGTTTTTGATCTCTATGTCATTTAGTTCTGCTCTAATCTTTGTTATTTCTTGTCTTCTGCTAATTTGGAGCTTGGTTTGTTTTTACTTTTCTAGTTCCTTGAGGTGCAATGTTAGGTTGTACTCTACTTTTTTGATATAGACATTTAATGCTATAAATTTCCCTCTCAGCACTGCTTTTCCTGTATCTCATGGGTTTTAGCATGATTTATTTCCATTTTCAATTGTTTCAAAATTTTTTTGTATTTCCATTTTAATTTCTTCATTTACCCAGTAATTACTCAGGTGCACGTTGTTTAATTTTGCAATACATCAATGCAAAACAATGTGTTTGTGTCGTTTCTGAGGTTCTTGGTACTAATTTCTAATTTTATCCCACTTTGCTCTGAAAAGATACTTGGTATGATTTTGATTTTTTTTAATTTGTTGAGATCTGTTGTGACCTACCATATGGTCTATCTGAGAGACAGATAGTTCTATGTGCTAATGAGAAGAATGTATATTCTGCAGTTTCTCGAGTAGAATGTTCAGTAAATGTCTATAAAGTCTAATTGGTCTACAGTTCAATTTAAGTCCAATGTTTCTTTGTATTTTCTTTCTCAATGATCTAATGCTGAGAGTGGGGTGTTAAAATTGCATGCTGCCAGGAACGGCGGCTCACGCCTGTAATCCCAACACTTTGGGAGGCTAAGGTGGGCAGATCACCTGAGGTCAGGAGTTCGAGACCAGCCAGACCAACATGGAGAAACACCATCTCTACCAAAAATACAAAACTAGC